AGAAATCCCCCCACCCAGGGGAATGGTCATGCTGCAATCCCTCCCCCTCCATTATCCTCTTGGGATTTCGGCAAGCCCATACATGCACATGGCATGATTTTCTAGCTGTCGGGTCCAAGATTTGAACTGCAGAGCCAGCCATGTGGGATTCAGCTGCTTTAATCTTCATGCTACCTGCTGGCCCCTATTGTATGCTTTTAAACTTGATAGAGATTTGAGGGCCAGCCGGTGGCATGGTTAACCTGGATTTGCCCACAGGGGACGCAGTACAAATCCTGGACCTGGTGGTTTGAAAACCATGCCCGGTGTGTGTGCCTGTGTGCCCCAAATCCTGAGAAGATAATGAAGAAGAAAGGATTGTGGCATGCCATCCCCCTGAGGGGGGCGAGTTCTCATTTTCTCTCCCTGTCTTTCTCTGCCAAGAGCATATGCCTTATGTTGAACCTTCTACCGCACCCCCCCACCCCCAAAAAAAGTTGATACAGATTTGGTCTTTATGTTGAGAGAGCTGTTACTCTAACTCCAGTTTAAAGGGAATATTTGACCTAAATGATGAATTGCCCTCTGCTTTGTTGAATATTTTAATCAATTTGTTATTTCATACTATTAACCCATTGAATGAATGATAATTGCACGTCCACATGTTTGTGTAATATAACGTCAGTGACTAGTGCCTGACATACAAGAAAGTCACGATTTGTCTCATTTTTACAGATATATAAACTGTCTTCACAAGAGGAAAGGATTGGGACATTACTGGATGGTATCATTTGTAGAATGTCAACAAAAGATGTTTTGTGAAATGTGAAAATATTAACATATTTTCAGCATTAAATACAATATTGCTTTTCCTTTCCTGACTATAAAAGTAATATATGTTCATTGTAGAAAAATTTAAAATATAGAATGGTATTACATAAAAAGAAAAAAAAAAAACTTAAGTCCTACCTCTTTTATTATTTTGAAAGATAACCACTGCTACTATTTGCTGTCTCCTAGTCTTGTTTCCATTCAAATGGATTTTATATAATAGGAATAAAAATTGCAAATCATTTATTGAATGCCTGTAGTGTACTAGGTTTTTGCTTCAGTGATTTTTCATTAATAAGTTCACTGTCCCCCCCCTTACTTCTGACCTACCCCCCAGGCTCCTGGTTCTGTTTTACATGCAAGAATTCTCTCAATTCTCTGAGCATCTTTTTTTTTTTTTTGAGAGAGGTTTTTGCTATAGGGCGCGTGCGCTCGCCAGACAGACAGAGAAAGACAGAGAGATAGAAAGCAGGAAATCACCCCCCAGGGGGGATGGGCACGCACGCACACTCGCCCGGCGTGAGTTTAAGCCACCGAGTCCGGGACTCAAACCATGGTCGACTACGTGGGAGTCCAGCAACATAGCCATTACGCTAACTGCTGGTCCCTATCTCTGAGCATCTTTAGGAGGCAGACGCCAGTATCATCCCCACCTTACAATGTAGCAACTAAAAGATGGTAGAAATAGTAAGTAACTTGTCCCAGGTCATACAACTAGTGTGAAACTCTCTAAGTGGTTCAACAAGTCTTTTTGAGAGTAGTTTTGAGCCAGTTTAGGGACACCCTTTATAACCAGGTAAGTCCAGAGTCTAAATGCTCCCTCAGCAAAAGCAACCAGTTAATAGATGGAATTTGGTGCTGGAAGAAAAATGGGTCTGGTTTGGTAGGTCACATGTTTGGCTCCTCAGTCAGGAGTTACACATTAAAGCAAGAAGGCAGCAGCAGCCTGCAGGTGTTCTGCGACAGGGTGGGGAGGGGCCCTGTGATTGGCGACCACTTGCTTCCCGGCTCCCCAGTCTGGGGAATGCTCTAGCTGTAACTCAGAGGAAATGTCTGTCTAACACATGCACAGCTGGGGTGACTGTGGCATCGAGTCCCTGTTAGAGGTGCTGTCTCACTGTCTCTGTCCCTCTCATTCAGGGAAGAAATACATTTTTAAGAAGTGTTTTTTAAAAATCTTAATTCTGGGGCTAGCCCATGGTGTGGTGGTTAAGGTGGCTGGATCCCACATGGCTGGCTGCCGCGTTCCAG